CCGTACGTCCTGAATTCGGTCACCTTACGCTCCTTCTTCTGTTCCTATGACAAACACAGATAATCTGTCCCTTTAGCTTGCAAATTTTGACATCAGTGAGGAACGTGTCCTTCCGTTCCACGTGCCTTTTAGTCAGGTAGGGAAACCCCTCATTTTCACGCTTAAAACGCTGAGGATCTCGGAGCAAGTCTAACACCCAACTGCGGATTTGAGGAACTTTTACAATAAGGAAATAGCTCTCAACGACTGTCGTTTTGCATTCCGTTCACAGTAAACCTTCGGGGTGTGCGGAAACCGATTAGGAGTTATTAACCAGAAAACCGTTCAACCAACTTTTGCTGCAATGCTTGTCCATTCTTTCGTTGTAGCAACGATTCCTCTATTCGCCAGCGGTTAGCGGCGATGGAAATACTACCTCGTGACCGACCGAAGTTCTTTTTGTCAATGACTACTGATCATGGACGGGAACACTAAAATTACAACCATGATGCATTCCAATTGCACCTCAGTTGTAGTTATCACTAGGAGTAGGGTAGCTATCTGATGGGCGTTGAGCGCCTCCTACGAGAATTGTGTTTACTGATATGATACTAATAACAAAATGAGCAGACAAGACTATCCTGATTGTCCCAAGTTGAATGGGGACAGAAATCGAAAAATTCGACTGGGCAGTGCCATGACCTTGACGTCTCCTGAAACACATTCCAGACGGACTTTTCCGAAATTCTAGTTTAAAAGAGATATTTCAATGTTGTGATAAATGACGCGCATAGTGTACGTGTTCAGAATGATTCCCAAAAGTATGCTTGTGGTAGAACAGTTCTTGAACAAATGGCCATCATTTTTCCATAGTCGCTTGGGCTAACCTTTCACATTCAATCACGAAGTATCGCCCCGTAGGTAGTGCTCAAGATATCTTACTGAAAACTCATTCGGGCCAAGCAAAGGGCCCTCTTCTCCTGATTCGCCGTTTCTTGAATGTATCTTTTAGACATGTATACAATTCAGGCTTGAAGGAAAACAACAATTATTGGACTGCTCTGTACCAGTTACGAAATTGCTTGGTGCTGCGGCAGGTGTTCACATTATAAGAGCACTAGGGATAGCATTCACACACTAATGGCAGCACCTACATGGCACTCTATCCGAATACCCATTCGAGCGATCAACTTGGCCCCAGGTTTAACATGAGAAGACGTGAGACCATGTCGCCTACTCCAAACTCGAAACCCAGTAGCGCATACCTTGCTATTCAGATGCACATTGGCCTCAGCGTTTAACAGGATGGAAAACGCATCTCTGTGCTGAGAATCAGTGTTGTTCTGCTTAACACGCTTTCGGTGTCTAGCTGCCACGCCACCCCAAGGCAGCACGATGGCTCAGATACCGTCAGGTTGCCCAAACTTAGATAGGAGCAGTGGAGATCCTGAGGTTGGGTTTGAAGCACGGACCATTTGGTTGCGCCTTAACCACTGGGTTATATCGAGCTCATCAGCCTAGATTGTCCGATTGCACTTTTTGCCAATTATCCAGATCAGCAAGCCTTCAAATTCAGTGTTTCTGCTTAGTGGTGCACACTACTTCGGACTTTTCAGGATTTCCCTTGGGAACCACCGAAATGCTTTGTGCGAAACCCATATGAAAGTTTTTCCTTGAAAACGCAGTGTCCGTGACGCTCATCTGGCTACTGTCGATATTTTTTAAAAAAAAACGTGCCTTGTTCTTACTGGCGAGATGATGCCCAACGGGTATGAAATTCTCTGACGAACAGTGGGTGAATCTGGAAGATTCTGTGTGATTTTTTTCAAGTTAAGGGTGTCGCCGTTAACTGTCTGATCTTAGTTAGTCATACTAATATAACTTTTATTCGCTGAACCCTTGCGCCTGAAGACCGCCACAAATAAGAATAGAATTGTGGGTGAATGTTATGTAGATGTTAAAAAGACGAATCACAGAGAATTCTTCAACCCAGGTAACATAAATTCGGAAACATCAGTACTGGAATGCAGTCCACACTCAGAAATGTCCGAGCAATATTCCCATTGATAACCCATTCCAGGAGAGCAAACCAATGCGGTAGACGATGGAACGGAATTACCATCAATATTAAACAATATTTCCGAAAAAAACGAATTGAATTCGGTTACCTAACAATCCTAACTAGCCCCACTCCTGAGCTTAAGGGATGTATCTGGATTCATCCCAGCTGACCGCAACGCACAGCCGATTGCTTAAGACATTCGGTCTAATATATTTGTAGTGGGTGTGTGGGGCCAACCAACATCGCAGAAATGACAACTGAAAGAGAGCAGAACAGGATATCGGCGTCATGAGTACCAGAGAAATCGATAACCGAGTCTCTCTAATGAAGGACGACCTGGGTGCTGGAAATTTCAGAAAGACGACAGTGAATATGGAAAATATCTCTACTGAGAGTCAATCAATTTTACCTAACAGCAGAGTTGTCATGGGTTACTACATAAATGAGTTCATTTGAGATTGTGGACCGCAAGACAAAAAATACGCCTTGCATGGTCCAGGATTCTGGTGACATTTTGCTGTGAAGAGTACCAGTTTGAAGCTACGCGACAAACTGCGGTTAATAGGCAGGACGAGAAAGAACCCAGTGACCTGCGTCGGAATCATCGACTAAGACAGTTTGGAACCTGAGTTGTCCTGCCCCAAAGATCAATGTGCACAAGCTGCAAGGACTGAGAAGATGGCAGAAAGACATCAGTGACTAGAAAACATGTAAGTCAATCAACCGGCGGTTCAAATCCCTACACAAGTGTTAACCATCACTGTCTTGATGCGTATGTTGAAAAGAAGACAAGATGCGCAGGAAAACCGAAATGGCTTTATAGCACGTCGCCAAGCGCTTCGCTCCACACCCCGGGAGACAGAAGTCATAGTGGAGGAGCCTGACGTCCTTCTCTGTTCCGTGACACTACACACCTCCGTCAGTAGATCTATTGATTTCCAGTCATTTCTGCTTACATGCCAGCGAAAATGTCATTTAGAAAAATGAAAACGTGTGCATTAGCAGATTGCACATACAAAGAAGACATGTTAAAGACTGCAGATACACATGCACGTGGTGATGACGAGCATCATCATCATCATTGTCAGCTGTAATAACCGCGTACTCGTCGTACGGTGGTTGCAGCTGCCGCAGTTTCATTCACCGATGATTTGGGGGAGGGGCTAGGTAGCTGCGCAATGCAGGCACGAGCTGGTAAGTTGGTGCATAAATCCAGCACTGTCAGCGGGCTGTCAAGTGGGGGGTGGAAAAGGAGCTATGCGTTGAAGGCAATAGCTTGGATGCACTAGCGCCATTGAGGGGGCGACTGGGCCATGTCTGACAATGTTTCCAGCCATTGATGTGGCCCGTCTNTTCCCGTCGTCCGGGGGTTGCCGCTGGCGGAGTTTCCTTCACCGATGATTTGGGGGGGGGGGTGGTGAGTAGCTGCGCATTGCAGGCGCGAGCTGGTAAATTGGTGCATAAATCCAGCATTGTCAGTGAGCTGTCAAGTGGGGAGGGGGTTGGAAAAGGAGCTATGCATTGAAGGCAATAGCTTTGATGCACGAGCGCCATTGAGAGCGCGACTGGGCCATGTCTGACAGTGTCTCTAGCCATTGATGTGGTCCGTCTCGGGGTCCCCATCCAGGAAGACGGCAGTGACCAGCGCAGCTGAGTTTGCTGGTAATGGCTTTCACACTTCGCTGCCAAGTCATTGTTTGACCGCCTCTGGCTCTCTTCCACCCTTCACGTGGTTGTGCGAAAAGAGCCCTTCCAGGATGACGAGCATACGGTAAAAGCGACTCAATTATTTAAAGGAGTATCCCAAATCCATTAGGTTGATCCAGTTAGGAGAGAACAGAAATCGCAATGCGATATTTCATTTCTTTGCTAAACGTTGGATATATGTCGGGTGCAGTCTAGCCGTATGATTCCGCTCAGTCTCTAAAGTAAAATGAAATACAACAGCATACTCAATCTGAATGGCAAATTCATATGTATACGCCCTTAACACTGACTACATGTGACTGTGAATCATGCATTGTTCTTCTCCAGTTAACATTGAGTACTCTTAACAGACAGCTTTTACTGATGACAAGTCTTATTGCGATGGAAACCTGGGTCTAGAACATTCCGGTCAAAGAAGCCACCCTCGAAGAACCGCATTCATTTAATACTGAATTCCCTACAGAGACTACCACACTGCCATCTGAACCAATCTATAACATCGAATTAATACGTGACTAGACCATGTGCTATTAATTCCACTGGGACGCTGAATACTGAAGAACTCCAGATCCCATATATCCGTACCGAAGTTAACATCCGGTTTTGATTCGGAAGTATATAACATATTGACCATCGAGATCTTGCGAGGTCATACAGTTCATAATGGAGAGGAATTTCTAACATAAATGATTTCTCTAGGTAAAATAATCATCGCTGTTCATAAAGATGTATACAAGCAACGGGCGGAGAGAAGACGTTGCCCTGCAATAGATTTAACTGATATTCAAGGCCCATTCGAGTTCGCAAAATGACTAGAAAAGCTGTCCTCGATAAACACCTATCCTAGTGGTTCCGACCTTGAGGCTTCGGTCTTATTCCCGACGTCGGCATCATCTACTCGTTCTCGAAAAGTTGAACGTATCCCATCGCAGACTTGTCAGCAGTGCGTGTTGCCTTGAAAGTAGTAACAATGTAGTAGAAGAATTCTTCGAAATTTCCAAAAGGCGGGCTAACGCCTCACTAGCTTCTTCGGAGTGTGGAATCGAGGAGCCAGTCACTCCATAAAAATTCGTCGTCATTTCGAAAAGCTTACCAAATTTACTCTTGGGAATAGCTGTTAGAATGCAATGCCACTGATGCTCTCATGAGTTATGCTGTTCACCACTGTGAGAAAAAAAAGAAGGAAATGGACCCACCGACCAAGGCTACTATGAAGGCATGATATCGGTAAAACTATGGAAAAGAGAAGATGGAAACCACTTGTATCTTACAAAGAAATACATGCAGTTCAATCACTGAAAGAAATGAGCCGCCAGTGACTTCGAACTCGATGTGAAGAAGCCCCCGGGGAAATTTCCCCGTTCGAAAGTCAGAACAGATGTACTGTACAGTTGTCCACATGGACAAGTAGAACGGACGACACTGGACAACACAGAGATTACAAAGACAGTTTCCGTCCTTCGATGCTCATTGTGACTGCACGGGCAGCCTTGGCGCGCTTTTGTTTCGCGGTTTGAGCTAAGTTGCGTATATGGGTTTCAATTCGCGATGAGGTACCGAAGCCTCCAGACACCCCTGCCTTCCGTCTGCGTCGAAACATGGGTTGATTTTCCGAGTCTCCACCCTCCTCATCATCTTCATCATTATCATCACCAGCCCGACCACCCCCGCCAGCGCCCACACGCCATTTCGGTCGGATTATGTAATCTTTGTTGGATGGTTGTGGGACGCGAGCACGTTTGATGAAACCTGGATCACTTGGACGGAGCAATCTGTGTGGAGTACAAAACAAAAGAAGTATTGTTGTGCACAACAAAACGTCGGTGTTGAAAGAAACAGTCTAGAGTAATGTGCCAGGCGTGGAACTGAAAGCGTCAGTAAAGCTCCAGTCACCAAAATACGGTACGTTTCTACTACCATGGGTGAGAACGTGCACTGAACCACCCGCCTCAGCACAAAAGGGAACACAAAGCTAAGTGTCCGATGGGAATTATGTAAGTGAATATTTGAGCGTCAATCGTGAAAAGGTAATACACCAGTGATTCGATACTTACTGTTCCTAGGACGAACAATGAGATTAGATCCATTTATTGATCCTCCCTCCTCATGGGCAACGAGAGACACCTTCCTTTATATAAGAGATGGTGAAAGCGTGACTACGTTCCGATACTTTAGTTCTACCAAGTACCCAACATTTAAGCAAAAGAATAATTTGAATTTGGTATAGATACAGTAAGATACGCCTTCACGTGACTTGCAAAGACCTTGTAGAGGATAAAGGAAATTAGCTTGCACACTAAGATTCGTCTATTCAATGCAGCCGTTCACCCAGTCCTAACTTACGGCTGTGAAACTTGGTACTTTCTGTGTCTAAGTCTAATTTCGGGCATCCGACCTGATGGTTGCAAGTTGTTACTTCAGCATTCCACTTCTCAGACAACTGCTGCAGCTGCCATGATTTCAACGTTTCGGTCTCGTCGCCCACAAAAGCGAAAGCGAACATTCCAAACTTATATAGGCGCCCCCGCCATGTCCGGAATGGCTCTACCGTTTTGGAGGACAGCTGAGTACCTGTACCATCGCTGTCAAATTAGATTTAGAGGGCACCGGTCCCAACGCAGCATAAGGCAGTTATCGCTGAGATCGCAATAGGACCTCCGTCTAAGATGATCTAGCCCATGACCACCATGTGTAGGACGGGATATCTATGAAGTCTACTCATCCCTTTACAGGAGACAGTCACCGTAAAGCAAGTAATTATGGTTCGTTTCTGTTCGAGGGGATCGCAATGAGTCGACAGCAATGGAGAATGCCGTTGCGAACCCTTTAGGATAACATTTTCTTTGGGGGATTTTTAGTACACTGTTATGCCAATGTCCCCCACCCCAAAGGCAAAATGGGCGCTCCCAATAGAAGACTCCCAGAATCACGAAGTTGCTCAGTGGAACCATCGTGAAGAGTGAATTACTCCGTATGAAGAGACCTTGTTCCATGACACCAACAAACTTATTTGAGGGAAATAAGCAGTAACCAGGGAACACCGACATCCTCGTTTCTTGGCACATCAAATAGGACATTTACCATGACTTATTTGTAAAAAAGCTCTTTAACTGCATCAGGGATCTATCCCAATACTTCCCAGTCATGTACGTCAAGTTGGACAGTCCTGTGCGATAACATCAGGAATACAGAGATGGCTTCTTCCGTTTACTGGAAATCACCACTTTGCTTAGAATGAAATGCACCGTGTTGGTTCCGATCACTTACTCACTAACTCACTCAAACAAGCCTCCGTACAGCTCCCAGGATTGTCTTTACTATGACAGTTAAACAGAAACGCAAAACCTTATCACCTCTAAGATGTCGAGGTAGTTCAGTGCGCCATTTGGTTAGTTCAACTTGAACTGCCCAAGTCTTGTTTCATCAAGGGATAATGCATTCCAACCTGAGTAGCCTTGTTTCAGTGTCAAACAAAAAATCAATGCACCCGACTTAGATTTAACATAAGCAAGGATGCTGCGATCAACTACATGACCATGCTGCGACGGACCGGCTTACAGTCGTCGTGGAAACTAATTGGCAATAATGAATAAAAGCGTTCAGCTGTGACAGTTTCGCTGCATGTTACCCAAGATGCTCGAAAGAAGCGCGAGGATGTGCTGCCCGATTGTTCGAGGCTAGACGGGAATAATCGAGGAACCACGGCGGGGTTCGAACCATGGAAGTCGAGATCAGTAGGTCGCGCTTAACGAATGGAACGGTTGGGAATAAACAACCCTACTAAGACCATTGAGGTGAACTTCGACCGCAGATCCGGGCAGTGGATTCCCTCAGGCGAATTATCAGGTTTTGCATGTAAATCGAAGTAAAAATGGATAAGACAAGTAGCAATGCCTGCACAATCAAGGATAAGATGAATCAGGAGCGATTTTTCCAACTTCGCTGCACAGGCAGTTTGTTACGCAAAGAAAACTAAGAGAAAAAAATGAAAACACCTACAAAATTGCCGTAGATTCCCCAGTTGAGTCGAAGTGAAATAGTCCTAATGGTTATTTCAACAGAGTGTAAAGTGCGTCAAACTAAGTCCAAAAAAGAAAGGACGACTTAAGCAAACACGGAGCTGTAGGTTGGATACGAACTCGTGAGAATATAAGCTACCAAACAGATGCTCACACAATGACCATAACTAATGGAAACCATATTATGGCAACCTTAAGGTTCGAAAACGTACTGAACGGTAGATCCGAAAAGTACACCAGTACTAAACACCATCATAATTTCTCTTCTGGAAATAGAAGTCCAAAAACTCACTAAACATGCCTAGCTGTGTCCAACAGTGAAACCCAACGCGTTTTGTGTAAGTGCGTTGTATTTCACCGGCGTATTTGGAAGATGTACGCTACATACCTTTTTACAGAAAAGACCATGCGTGGGGTTTAAAGATGCCACCTAGGGAGCATTATGTAAACTAAGTAGACTGCGCTGCGGGTAAGATGACTCAGTGGTCAGAACACGAATTTACTGGCCGGAAGGTCCGTGGTTCGAGCCCGACCTCTGCCTCTAGACTTCCCCTGTCTATGCTCGGTGAACCTGGTAGTATCACAGCCCTCGTGCTTCCTTCTGGTGGCATAGAAACTAGGCACCGAAAGCGTGCTACGACTGAACAAAACTGCGTCGCCTATGTTGTTTGGTTGCAACACCAGCAGCAGCATGTAGGAGAAGTCGTTTACTCTGCTCGGTTCAGTGGACTCTACTACTTTTAGAAGTCTGAAACTGGAAGATACATCTTCCCGAGACGTCGAAGCGGTTAAAATATACCATACGGACCAATAATGTCCTTCCACACGAAGCATGTTTGACATCTGAATACCTGCGGTATCCCTCTAGTCCCAGATTTTCATTCGGAGGCCACCTTTTTGGTGAATCCAGAACTTAACAAGTTCGTCCCAGCAAGCACCCATCTCTTGAATATCAATTATAGATAAGCATTGGCATTCGTCATCGGAACGGCGTCATGAACTCCTGAAACTATGTGGAGTGAGGATTCATAACTCATCTAATCCTCAAAATCAAACTGTAGAACAGCACACGACATTCTTTCACTAGTCAGTGTTTGACTTCCAAACCTAAACGGCTGAGCCAAACAATTGCGTGAGAAGGATAGGATCGACTGAAACAGAGTCTAAAGATTGTAAGAATAGCAACGCAACACCTAGTGATGATCAGAGGGGTCCAGTCAGGTAAACTGCTTCTGAATTTCCACTAAAAAGTGAGGTAGTCGTTTTGGTGTCAAGTACGCAGCTGTGAGTGCACTCTGACCAAAACTGAGTGAACAATAACAAACGGGACAAGAAATGAGTAGACCGCTTTGGATTACTTTGCCAAACGTCTAACGAAGCATGCGTACTTCCACCAGCTTTTAGCTTGAAGATAAGCGAAAGGCAAAAATTTAGTTGGGCAACGAACAAAGTATTCTTCACCAGTAAAAGATTGGCTTCTTACACCTAGGGTGCAATGGAAGCCCTTTCATCAAAGAAAATTCGATTTACCGATCAGTTTCTGTTGCAAAACCATGATCGCATTGCACACAACTTCCCTTGTATATGGCTACGTTCAATACATATCTGTCCTCAGTGCACTACAAATCGGAAGCTTCGGTAGATTGACAGCTGTTGCGCAAGTGATTCCATTAGCTTCAACTGCTGTTGGAGAGTGTTTTCACAATCCACTTAACGCGACAGAGTATAACAGTCTGTCGTCCGGGGACTGTCATGGTCTGAACTAGGAGACAGACTAAAACTATGGATGGCGGCCCGACACATCTAAGCTTCTGCCGGATGCTCACTCGACGGGTTCACGGGAGCAAGGTCGATCAAGCTAGAACATTTATCTATTCGATCATGTGACAAACGCATAGGTCGGGCCAGGAACTGACATGAGCATTTATACGAGCTATCTGGATAAGTCTGACCAGAGACCCTGAGCTCCAGCTAGCTGAGTCGTAAGGCTCCGAAGCTTCTGACCAGGTCAGTGGTTCGAACCCAGTCCTGGTTTCTCGACCGTTCCTGTCCTGACAGTATATCAACTCCGGTGCTTCCTATGGGCTGTAATAGAATGCATGGGCGTTTATATATGCACTGTTTAATGCCTGCATGGGTAACGCGTCTAGACTAAACGCTGAAAGCGGGGGAAGGAATCAATGCGCATCACACTGAAACAGATATAGTTCCAACAGCATTATCTTGAGGAAGCATTACCAGTCTTCGATTCATAATATTTCCGGGCTTAAATAACTTGATCAATCGAGGGTTCGTTTGATAGACGTGGTAATCGGACGTAATTGAAATTAAAACCAAAAAGCAACAAAAATCCAGTCAGTAATAGCTCACCCTCTGGTCTCACCATCCAGTTCTCGGTTAATGTCACGGTGATCGTGAACCTCGTTTCTGAAACGATAGACAATGAAATCCCAAATGATGTCATAAAAGTAGACAATGAGAGACTGAAGTGCTGAATGTAAGACTATAGCATATTACTGACAATCAATCGGAAAAACCTCCATCTGTTATCGAGAAAAATGCTTCATTAAAGATAGGTCAACGTACTCAATATTGCGGCGCTTGGGCAAATGTTCGTAGTCCAATTGTTTCCGTTCTTCTTTTGTCAATGTGCGATAATCACTCGTCAGATTGAAAATGGGACGCAACCACTCGTCTGAAACGGTTCGGAGGGAGTGGAACCATGCAAATTAGACAGGTAAGTCAAAAACCAATTCAGATGCGTAGGTATAACGCAGTGACATGGTTTGATTGAAAGGCTATGTAAACAGACTGAAGCTCCATCAACTGATGCGACTAAATTTGCTTTGGAAAACTGAATACCCAAGTGCCTACCATAAGTTATGAGTCATACAATGATTGGTTAAAGTGAATTAGGGATCTCGGTAAAAGCCTGTAAGCAGAAGTGTTTACCATTTGCCCGGCACAACAAAAGCGTTCATCCGTGGCACTATTTCGGTGCAAAACGGGTGAGCCACTGCCAATTTATCGGAACCTAGACAAGACGTGAATTACAGCAAACTTCCTTCCGCCAGCAGCCTGTGTATTCGGGTACAGTTTGCAAAATATGGGCTGGCGTCTGCTTTCTGGTGCAAAGCTGGGTTATTGTGCATACCGAGTGGCTGGACAAGTAGTCATCTGCCTGATCCTAGCAGAAGACCAACATAAGACAAAGACTAACCTCAAAGTGAATGAAGAATTATCTGCTCTACAAACATCCTTAAAGTTTGAAAGTTTGAGAGGCTAGATCAAAAAGATTGTAATGTTCCACAAGGGATGTTTTTTGTGTGCTCGTTCTTTATGGAGACCTGGTGAGTGAAGTGAATGCTCGACTGCTTTTGCGCGATCGTACTAGTTAGAGCAGCCCAAAGTCTAAGATGAAAGAACAGTCCATAAAAAAACATTGGACTAATGTTTGAAACCAGCGACCTGGCAGATGTCTTAAACAAGGGGTTGTTCAACTGGGTTGCTAAAAAGCAGTGAAAAGGCAGATGGTCTCGAAGGCGTATGAATAGTCCTCCTCGCCCAATATGCATTGCAGTTATGGCCCCATTGACCTCTAACTTGTTTCGCTCTAGTGTGGAGCTGTGGACCTTCGCCGTTACCTGTCTATCCTACGGCAGCCACATGGGAGAATGGGTTCGTACCAAGTGAGGTGATGAGGTAATAAAAGACAGATGAAAATTCGGTAATTATTAGCCCCCCCCCCCGGTAATAGAACTTCTAGCCCCAATATTCCTGGCACTTTACAATGTTACACGAAACGTTGACCAAAAGCGATTTCGATAGAATTACCATTACTCATTNGCCCCCCCCCCCCCGGTAATAGAACTTCTAGCCCCAATATTCCTGGCACTTTACAATGTTACACGAAACGTTGACCAAAAGCGATTTCGATAGAATTACCATTACTCATTTGTCCGGGATTGAGGTGGTGTTATATGTAGGACCAGTCATTGACTTCGAAAGTGTTCGGCCCTTCTACACGAGAGAGCATGTTTATGTGACACTTTCGTTTGCATACACGTGTGTGAGGAAGCCCACCAAAAGCATTCCCATAGGGATTTCCAAACTCTCCGTTCTCGTCCAACGTTATCAGTGTCGTGCTTATGTGAACGTCAGTCCCCAAATGTTTTGAGTTCATACTGTTGTCGACAAAAAGGTTGTTGACACAGATGACAATGTCATCTAAAAAGCATTGTGAACGTTTTTAGGAAGACTCGTCAGACCCAACATATCCTGTGGCTTGCGCTTTGTACCGGGGTGATGCAGGCTCTTATCATGCCCTTCGACAAGCAAGGGAACTGGCTTTATTCCACATAGTAGGATGAACAATAAATTCGGCCTATGAAACTCAACAACCGGAATCGTTCACATCAACTAGCGCAAGTTTTAATTTCAGAAGCGTATACAACTGAGTCTCAAGAGTCAGACATCTAGTACTATTATGCGGACCGCCTCTGAAAGCATGAAATCTGAGGCGTCCTCAATGACGATCATGTGTCAGGTATGTCAGAATTATAACTCGTGTTGGTTAATACCAACGGATTCGTAACAACGGAAGACACGTGATTTCCAATGGGCTATGCATCTAGTATTATACAAAGAATGCGGCGGCTCGGTCGTGTATAAAAATAGCCATGGCCTATTGGAGTGCGCGTTGAATTCCATGTGTAAATCAAGTTGGCACAGAAGACGTATCCGATGAACGCTAAATCAGCAAGAGTGCGAAAATGAAGACGAAGAGGACAGAAACAGCTGTAGAAACGTGCCCGCTCTGGAGCCACTGCATGCCGTGACTATTGTATGATCTCAACGGCCTTCTTAGCGCCAGTTCCCATCCGGATATTAGGATTGGTCACTTCAGAATGTATGCACTTTGGGAACTTTGTGGTGATCTATAGATTATAAGTTACTAGTAATACTTTTAAAGCAGAGCTTTCCCAAACAAAGAGGCAATGAAATAGTTTTCGAAAAAGTTTGGTGACAATCGGTAGATTTATTGCTGGGCAACGTTTCGCTTTTGACACAAAAGCTTCGTCAGGCCAAGTGACTAGGTTCCGAGGTTGATCGAGATTTGAGGCGGAAGGTGAACCAATCAGCTAAGTCAAGCTAAATCTCTGTTGGGTGTCGGTCGAGGGATTTTAGTGTGTTAGAGTGGTTGAACAAGTGTTGGGTCGGTGGGGAAACCTACATGTGTTTGGGTCCTGCCTAGGGTCTAGTTCTTCTGGTTCGGTTCATTTGATGGTTCCTCTTGAACTTCATTTGAACCTTCTGTTAGTCTGTGTGGGTGAGCTAGTGCTAAGAAAGTTGTGTAGGAGGGATGCTGTGACCTTTGGTCGGTTGGGGTTTCCACCCCTACCCCCCGGTTTTTTCTAATGACCCTAAGTGGATTGACAACCACACCGTCACGTGTCAACCCGGCTTATCTAAGGCAATGAAATAATTGTGCGCGACACAAAGGGTGCTGTTGCTGAAGAAGGCGGAGGCCACCTAGTTATGAAACAAACCGATTGTGTCTTACGTTTTGCACGTCATGTCGCTTTGATAAAGGCTGTCCGATAAAAGACAGATGATGCTGGGATCTGCTTAATCACTTCATAGGCATTGTTGTAGCTGACTTAGGTAGAGGAGTACCACCACGTGGCTGCAAAACATAAACTTGGATGTGGTTTTTGATCCAAAAAGCCGCTGACTAATACAGAAATTCATCAGGCCGAGGAAAAGTAGTAAAGACACTTACCTGCCTAGTCGTTGATCCTCACGTAGGATCTGATTAACACCAAACCACAGGCTCGGAATTAAGCTGGTCGTTTTGGGAGGTGTGACTGGACCCCGAAAAGTCCAGCCATATCGTCGTTATTGATGCACACAAAGTGGGCACAGAGAGATGGTACAAAAAACTTACTTATAAGTCGTCCGGCGCGATCCTTGTTTTCTCGCGTTTCCCTTGGATGCTTGTATAAATACATGAGGGCCTTTCCAATTCCGGAATCTTGAAGGGTTTCGGGGGAAAGGTTTTGAAATTCTCGCAGACAAGTGAGCATTGTGTCACGGATCACCAGATTTGGAAGTGTGTGGCCCGGAAGCGGAGCCAGCCAATCTGTTATTGCCGACAACATTCCATTATCAATCAGAGCAGCTTTAAGGTCAGCTCTCCTCAACAGGGAGGTTACATTGGTGATCATACGCAATTTCTTGGTAGCTGGTTTGTTCTGAGACAGTAGCTGACGATCTTGCTCAGCGGCTTCTTTCATTTGAGAAATCACAGACAAAATAATGTCATCGCTGTCATTTAAGAATTCAATATCCCTATTACGCCGTCTCCTGCGGCTGAGTTGCTCCCTCTTCCGTGCCATGATTCGGTCAAAGTCCGAAACAAATTCGTCCTCTCCTTCGCCTTCTTCATCATCGGAACCAACCGTTTGTTTGTCGGTTACAGAATGTTCTGTAGGCTGAGCAACAGGTTCTGCATCTAGCTCCTTTTCAACTTCGTTCTCAGCAAACCCCTCGAACTCCTCTTCAGCATCGCTTTCACCAAAGATGTCAGCAATGATTCCGTCAACCTGAGACTCTGGTTGTTCATCTCGTTCAAAACCTTCAAAATCCTCGTTGAGCTTATTGTCATCATCAATATCATCATCATCGAAATCCTCAAATAAATCTTTATTCACGTCATGAGGGGATTTGGAGTGCTGTGCTGTAACAAGCGCCGGTGCTTGTTGTGGGCTGCTGACTGTGTCCCTGGGACTGTGAGCTTCCATGCGGTCAGATGAATCAGAGCCTGGAGTGGCAACTGTCTCGGTTTTAAGTGAAGGTCGGTAGGTATGTTCTGGGTCTTCTTTCGTCAAAATGGTCGGCTGAATGCTTGAAACTGGAGAAGGATAACCTCCAGAAACACTGGAGGTGAGGGGGGATTCTGAAGGTGACCCGTAAGTATGACTGGGTGCATAGGCGGGGGTAGTGACATCTAGAAGAGGCTCAACACGGTACTCTTGATCTTCATGCGCATTGGGATGCGTTGCGTTTTCGGAATCTGCGTGGTGAAACCCAGGATCAAATTTTGTTGGCTGAAGGGACGGTGTGACATGCACTGCAGCGGGTTCCTGATCTGGCGATGAGATCTCATCATCCGTGATACCATTGTTCTCCGAGCCGTCATCATCAGACAGATCGTCTGAAAAGGAGTCCTATAAAAGGGCATGCTAGTTAGCTGGTGACTAACTTACTCCAAACTGTCCAGGCTGTACACAAATGGGTTGATATTCTTTTTCCGGGTCGTCCAATAATTGGGTCCGTGTTGGATCATACCCATCATCCTCCATCATTTTGAAGACCGGGCTGAAAAGTGAATATGATGAAGGATTACGCTGACCATAGTGTGACTATCCGAGGCCGCCACACCTACAAACTGCATGGAACCTTCAGCAGACTTGATGAACAGGTGAGAGGGACTTGTACATATGCAACTACACCCACCCCCGCAACGTCAATAGATTTGGTTCCAGTGGCTACAAGTAAGTGCCTTTTCACAGATTACCCACTTTCAGTGAAAAAAATATTTCAGTTCGCAGAAATCTTGGAAAAATACAGCTGGACACTTTGAAGGCTAGTTTAGCTGGCCTCTCATCATCATCATCATCATCATCATCATCATCATCATCATCATCATCATCACCATCATCATCATCACCATCATCATAATCGCCATCACCACAAGAGATAGAAACTTGTGTTGACAATGATGCTTCGCTACCACACAACCACAAAATCCAATTATAGTTGAAACCTTAGAATGAAAAGAAAAAATGAGCGGATGCGGGATGGGACCTCGTGCTGCCCTACTGCAAGCATTCTGAGGTGCTCACATCTTCAATTTTCCAAGCAGACAATCTGGAAAGAAAATAACAGCATGAACGCCAATCATCGACCAGCCACTATTTTTGCAATGTCTCCAGCCGAGCGTGAGGGTTTCACGCGGACCCTTCCTATAAGCCGAAACGCCAAACCCTTCGTATCCTCTATCGCACCATTCTACCAAGGTATACGTCAGCGACCTTGCGATTTCTGCCACCCTGAAGGTGGCACGGAAGCAACACTCGCCCCAATATTGATTTGCCACCGCAGTTGACGGTGCTAGACACATTCCGCGATTGCATTACCTGTTGCACAACCAAATACCCGTTTTCTAATAACCTAATTACAAATTCGTTGACACCACTAGTCAAAAACCTGGAGACGCTTCACACCATCTATCCGCATAAGCCATGCCTCACAATCACGCAATAACAAAGCCCTTATTGTAGCCTGTTACATGCCATCCATGAGACCCAGTGATGTGACGCTCATCAACAAACGTGATTCTGGCCTTTGAAACTCATGCACTGAATTCATCAGACATACCGCGATCAGGGCTAACACAATTATCGAGGTATGGAGAATTCTCCGAAACTCCCGACGCTTTTGCCGGGATTCTAAGAGGTATGTTCAGAGACAGTACGTTTTGAAGCATGACTTGGCACTTTGAAGGTGCAAGGCGCACACCAAAAGGTGGTACGATGGTTTATTCAATCGGGTTTCATCTTCAAGGATGAAGACAATTCGCCTACATACTACAGATCGACAAAGTCCTCACCAGCAAAAATTTGAACCTTCCAGCGTTCGCCTCATTATTTTATCAATGACGAAGCTGAACCAGGATGGAGAGAGTGGACATCCTTGTCGGACACCACTTTCCGTAGAGAAGCTTTTGGAAAGATCACCATACACTCGCACATGCCCAGAGGTATGTGAATACGGGAACCAGATTATGTTCACAAACTTCCAGGGTATATCTTGTTGAGGACTGACCGATCGACGGAAACGAACGCACCTTTGAAGTCAAGGAATACCAAGATTGTGCGTCGTCTGTACGTATGTCGTTGCTCTACCATTTGACGGAGTGTGAAGATTCCAGATCCCTTGTTACTCCACGGACGCTGAGTTTCACCTGGCATCGGTTAATGCGGTGCACTAAGTTGTGGCCGCAGCCAGGGGAATTCGTCGCCGGGCTTAGGTCCCATCATACGTCTAATATTTATAGGAAGGCGGAAGGGTCAGCAGGACGTGGGCTGGGAGCGAGAAATCTCAGTGGTTACAACACGAATTTACTGACCCGAAGGTCCTCGGTTAGAATCCGACCTCTTCATCTCGACTCGCTATCTAGGCGTCGACAACCCCACAGAATCCCGGTCTTCGTGCCTCTTTCGGGTGGCATGGCAGCTAAAGGGTGTCACAGCAGAACGAGCGTGAGGGCTGAGGTACTTTAAGGCTGCCCAAGGCTAGACAGAAGTAGCTGAGATGCTGGGGCTGGGACAAAGCCTACCATAAGACGGAAACAGAAGACCAATGGAAAGGGGCACCCTGGCCGTAACTCGGTATTTAAAAATTGCACAAGACAGTCACGCGAAAACCATCGCGGCATCAGCTTGATATCCACCTGTTATGTAACGCAGCGAGTACGATCAACGGCTATACGCGACGTGAGACCGAGATAGACCAAGTAGTTAGAGCGCGAATTTACTGACCGTGAAGCTCGTGGTTCGAACACGACCTCCGCCTCTCGACTTCTGTTCAGGCTTGGGCAACCTGGCAGTATCCCAGCCCCCGTGCGTCCTTCGTGTGGCATGGCAAGTAGGAACCGAAAGGATGCTACAGTTGAACATACCTACGTACGAGACCGAGCGCACAACTCCCCGGCTATGACGCGAGCCCAACCACTCCTAGCACACTGAGAGAAGACCAGACACCGCCTCACCCAAGATGATTTCTGGCAATATATTGTCCAGGTCGACCGATTACTTGGAGAGACAATCCGTGAGAACCAAGCTGGGCTTCGCCTTGGCGGACGAAGCATGGACCTTACGCTTATTTTGGAACAAGTTCATGGATAGCACCCTTCTTTCAAACGCCCCACGTTGGACGTTTTTATTGATCTGAAGGCTAATTTTCACTCTGTCAATCGTCAAAAAGTTTGGCAGTGGTTTGCGATCAAAGATGTCCCTCCTAAATTTATATCCCTTATGAGAGCACCGTACATTAACTCCTGCGGGTGCATACGCATACACAGGAGGCATCAGCCTAAGCGCACCACGCCAGCAGTGTAAGACAAGACTGGCCTGTCTCACCTTTTCTCTTCAACTTGCTTGTTGACGTGCTGCTTGAACCCTCTCTGCCTGCCCCCAAAACCTCGACGATCGAAATGCTCGCGAGTCATTGGTGCATGGGGATTGAGTGCGCCGACGATATCGCCCTTCTTGGTTCATGTCCTTCAAAGATGCGAATCATTTTAAACAACCTAGATACTTCTCTCGTGAAGCCCCCCCCCCCCCACACCGTATTGCCCGCCGGGTCAAGGAAGTACACAAACCGTTACACCACGATAA